TGATGTTGGCATCATTCAAACTACCTTGAAATGGATCAATAATGTCGACTATATAAGCTAAAACTACGTCGATCTACACTATTAGTCTTCATGTTGAGTACATGAAAAAATATTATGAACATCGTTAATTTCGTTTAATTTTAATTCCAAGTACATATTTGAATAGCCCAAAAATTCTGCTACACGAATTCAGTTAACACTTCTCCGCTTCTATTTAATTTGGTGGGGGAAAAAAATGAGCTTTTTCTAACGAATCAGTTGAAAAAACATCAGTTTTAGGCCTTGTTTGATGAATATCAAGTCTTCCTTAAGTAACAGAGAGCTCTTTCTTTCAGAAGTGAATATACAAATACAGAGGTGTAAAAATATTAACGAAGCTTTGTTCATGCCGAACAGTCGCGATCAATCGACAAATTCGTTTAACTGACATTTATAATCATGCAACGTTAATCGATATTAACTAAAAATTACGATTAGTTGCAAACGGAAATTACACTCCGATTAATCACGATTAGCGGAGTCATGTTCAGTTGTGACTAGTTAACTTAATTAGATAATCAGCAATATTTTCTTCTTCTCCTGTCGTCCCATACCCGTGATACGTCTTTCGGTTTGAATAAAACACCTCAGAGAGAATTTCAAGCCCAAACTGAAATCGAAAATGATAGTGAATAATTTCGTTTTTTTGAGTAATCATGTTCTAAGGTCTATGAGAGTTCTTTATTCATCTTTTCCCATCAATGCGTAGAATCTATTTTAAACACAAAAGATTCGACTCAATATTAATAAGGCAACATCGAAGACTTATTTTTTTATCTGATGTGAACTACAGTTCTTTGGCGTCAAATTAGGAGTGGAAAATTTTTATTTTTTCAATCTTGCAGAATAACTTTAAGACTTCGTTCTCTGCAGAATTTTGACTAGTATTTAATGATATGTTTCGGTTCGGATATATCGTTATGCTTTCTTTAATACTTCGGATGTCGTAAACTGCGTCAAAAAATATTACTGCCACCTGAAAAATAATCTTTTTTATACGCGGGGTTTTTCTATCACGCATAGTCGTGAAAATAATCACTTAGGTACCAAAAGATTCAGCTTTTCAAGTTCTACAAAATTCTGTCAATGGGATAAAATAATAACATTTCGTTTTGATACAAAAGAGAGTAAATTTCATTCTGGTTTTCTATGAAAAACAAAAAGTTTGAAAAATTAAGCACATGTATTTTTTGTATAAGGTTCAAAAGGTAACAGTTTAATTACAAAATTTTTTTCTATAGACCAGAGTATCAAAAGTTCTTTGCACTTTTTGTTAATGTACTCGGTTCAAAGAAGCCATAGTCTTCTAGCTGACAAAAACCTGTTCGAATAAAAATAGTGTAGTTTTGAGGGGTGTTTACTATTTCCGAAATTTTAAAGAAAGCATAACGATATATTCTAACTGGAACATATCATTAAATATTAGACAAAATTCTAAGTCGAACGAAGTTTTAAAATTTATTCTACAAGGTCCAATTTTCCACCCTGAATTGGACGCTAAAGAACTGTTAATATAGTAGGTATACTACAGTACCCAAGTTTAAAAAGGTTTGTTAATAAAGTGTTTCCATATGTTCTATGGAAGTTCCATATGTTCTTGTCATGACTTCTATTCTTTCAGTGTTTGACAGAGATTTACAGTACTGCAGTTACTCCCAGATCGTGAAAAGTTGAAGAAGTTATCTGCCACGATTCTAATCTAAATTGAAATTCTGTTATAGGTTGCTGTGCACCCAAACCACCAGCCGCAAAACGGGCCATGATTATCAGCATCATTGCTCTTTTGGCCACTGCACTCTTAATCACATTCGATGCTGTGTTCCTCAGTAAACCTGATACTTGTATTCTAACACCTTCGTGTACTAACACTGCTGCTCAAACATCGGGTGTATATTATACATTGAAGTAAGCATTTTTGAACTTATTTACTACGTTGGGGCCATTTAAATCATATTCATCAACGCAAGCGCGTTTTCTTTTTCAAAGTATTCAATTGGGTGTTGGTTGTTTGTGTTTCGTTTTAGTTTTGATATATCTAATTTTTTATTTTGCTTGCAAATCAAAAGTTGAAAAACCAACAGTCTTTCTTCAATCACCAATATTCAGACGTGACAATGCGAATGAATCATACCCACCGGCCAGTCAGCAACAATATCCTCCAATGCAACCTCAACCACGACCACGTGAACTGCCATGGGATCCCCCAAAACAGTATTAAGAGAAAAAAACGAAGGGGAGATACGCAGATACAACACAGTTCACATAGAAGTTTTTCATATTGTATAAATACACAAAAGCGTTTGTTTTTACACTACGTCATGCATAAGCTCCATTTGTATCAATATTTTTTAAGTAAATCATTTAAAACTGTGTGTGTAGATGATCCGCCAATAAGGAGTAAACGCCTTTTTACTATAGCCTATTACAGAAAAAGGATGCAAGGCTGAACTAATTGATATTGAAAATTTATTTAACGTGTTTAATAATTAAATGAGGTAATAGCGTGTTTCAACATGAATTTATATCTACAGAATAACATGTTAATGGAAAACATTTAAAGGTTTGAAAATGTGGAATCCACAAAAAGAAGAACCATTATATGAACGTGTGAATTTCTTATAGGTCACCCTGCCAATCAGTCTCTTCACGCTTATAATACAGTAAGAATCATTCGTATACTTGATTCGTACTGTCTTGTAACGGCGTTTTTGTGAGTGGAGCAAAAGGAAGATGCAAATTTAATTGTAGACGAGTTGACTTGTGACCAATTTCTTGTTAATTGTTCTATACATCTTAAAGCTTAAAAAATCTATAATTTTTTCAAAAAAAGGTGGTGGAGCGTAGCATGGTGTCATTTTGTAGCTCCGACTTACGTCGAGCTATGGTGAAGCCAAAATCGAAAACCTTTTCAAGAGAAGGCGGTGACGAGAAAAGTCATTCGAGGAGTGCAGCGAGTACTCGAAAATGTGCCACCGCCTTGAGCTCGACCTCTCCAAAAATGAGACTTCGGACCTTTAAGAGCCTATCGGTTTGGATCCTGCTGGTTCCAGAGAGACAGCGAGCCCTCTAGAACAATTCCGAGCTGTCGAACGGAGATGTCCAAAGTCTCATTTTTAGAGGGGTAAAGCCCTCGGCGAGGCCCGATCTAAAGCATATTTTCAAGTACTCGAGATACGGCTTGAATAAGTGGTTGGGAGGAGTCAGTACCCTTAACAAGAAGTGACAAAGAATCGTTGTAGTGTCACTAAAAATTATATTTTCTAAATATTTTCTAAATGAAAAAGAAAAAGTTGGACAGATGAAACATGATGGTTATATTATTGAAATTGTCGTTTCTGTTTGCCAAAAAATTGATAATTCAATTGTTGTTGTTTTATCTGACTATTATCGGTTAATAATCGATTTAAATTTGTATAAAAATAAGCGTTATCCGAATAGACATTCATATTTGTTATTAATTCTAAGGTACGATTTGTTGATAAAAATCGATAAAAATGTTTTGCTTGTGTTATCCATGTCACATTGGATGGATCTATGTGTGAACATGTAAAGTTAAATGATAAATTTGATTGTATTTGAATATGGTTGATTGTTTGATGTGTGTTTGTTTCATATGTTATTGTTGTATCGAAATCCGTGTCTGTTTTATAATATATTTTTGGTTCGCTTTTATAGACTAATTTATTCAAATACATTTCATCACTCGGGTCAACTGATTTTTGAGTGAATAATGGGATGATTGGTGAAGCAGATGAATGACAGTGAGATATAACTGGTAAATCAATATATGTTATTGGATTATGATAAATTGTTGTTGTCATTGGCTCGGGTGTTGGCCAATGTGTAAAAAAATAGGCATTTGATATTGATAGACGAATTTGATGTTGAGGTAAAAATGTCCATGTTGTAAAGTGTAATCGAAATGTTAAATTATATATTTGATTTGGAATAAAATATTCTGGATTTGACCGATTATTTCGTTGTGCACCATTTAATGCCCCACCTGTAACCATTATCGCTGTTTGATTGTAAACATCTTCTAAACGAATCATCCAATGTGCTAATTTTGATGTTGTACTTACTTGTAATGATACATTAACATATCCAATAATTTCAATAGCATATTGCAATACATCACTTTCATATACTAAACAATCCCGATCATATTTACTTTGATCGAGATCGATACTTGAACCCCACCAGTAACCAGCTTCAAATCCAATCCAAGGTTTATATTCTAATTTATCACTACTCATCACCCATGATGAAGTAGTGTCTTCTAATTTTTTGTTTTTCATCATAAAAAAACGTTTTGATTTCATTTTGTTCAACGGCCAATGATCATAATAACGATATTCACCTGCTGATGTACCATTTCGAATAAATAATGTCAAATCAGGCTCAGCTAAAATACCTGTATCATGACCTTTTAGCCAATAATCAAACCATGATACCATGTCCGATTTCCCGTCGAAACCAGGACCTGGACTATTATCTTCGGGTGCTGAATGTGTAAAAGGTCCAACAACGAGTTTTATTTTTGGTGAATATTGACGTGCATTCGAATAGATATTGATGCCAAAATCTGATTAAAATTTCAAGTTACAAATGATAAAGCACTTAAGAATTCTGTGCTGCTGTTCTACGTATAGGATAATAAACGTGAATTTTCTCCATCAGTCTGACAGTAGTGGAAACAGGGACCCATGAGTCTTAGCTTCCGTGTTTTTTTCTGCTACGAAAATATTATCAAACTATTAAGCATGCATTGACCTGTGCGTCGATCGGAAAATCGGCGGCGGCATGAAACAAAAGTTTTCGGATCTGAAGCGGTCGCATAGTCGCCTTACCCATAAAAAAAATTCATTCTCTCATAATCTTATTCGATTTTTGCTAGATTGAATTCTTGTTCGATAGGTAGAAAATATTCGAAGTAGACAGTAAAATGACTTCATGTTATTGACCTCCATAACCACATTTCTTATCTGTTTTTCTGGAAAAATTCAGACGTGTGTGGAAAACAAGTCAAATCAATAACTGTTATAATCCGCTTTGCGTAATTAAATGCTTGCCACTATCATATTAAATAAAATAAACATATATCATATTTTCCTGTCTGAACGCGTTTCAAAACAGAGTAGTGAGGACGTTTAAACGGATTTACCACAGAGAGAGCCTGTTCAGTATCGAATACATTCAAGTGCTCTTGCACTTTGAACGCGTTTGATACTTTTAGCACAATAGTGACGCTACTGGTTTTTCATGCTGAACACTTTTCTTTCGCGATAATAGTAAGTCGCTGGAACATATCTCTTCTGAACAGATCGTGTCCAGAATCTTCTGAGAAGATCGATGTATTATTTACTCTATAAATGATGGTATTCCTCCTTATAACAGAACAGTACACATTCGAAGGCGTCGAATTATTTTAATTGTATATTCTGAAAAATTACAAGTGGATAGTAGTTATGCAACAGTATCAGTACGGTACCGAAGTACTGATACTATACTCGTAACATGATAATTTCTAGAAATGATTGTTACCAGTACTTCGGTAACGTTCATAGGATATAAGAGCAAGCAATTTTATGCAGACGGCTCAGTTTTCTCGCATGCGTTACGTAAGAGATGAAAGGAATAGAGAACAGTTGAACGAATGGGAGGGATAAAATAAGTTAAAGGAAGAAAAACGATGAGAGAAGAAGAAGAAAGATGCTTTTATTAGGGCTTACATCGCTAATTGCCCACAGCCTATTGCTTTTCCATTAAAGTTACTTTAGATTATATTAAAAAAAAGTATTCTTAAAGCCACGGGTAATTGTACTAATACAGTACCGATCAATACCAGTACTGGTCAATACTTTGAGCAACGGTATTGATGATATTGGTACTGTTGCATGTGTAGTGGATAGAGAGAGGAATAAACCGAATGTTCATTATTATTTCTTTCGGTTAACAATAAATTGAGAAACTACCTGAATCATCGAGCTGTGATCGTGCAGCACTAAATATGATTGTATCCTATGGTACAGATCTACTGTTCGAACCCGTTGGACAACATCTCTTCGTAAGTATAAATTATTCTGTTTCTTCTGTGCAGATATAAGTAGATACGTCTTGAAAAATTATAGATGAATTGTATAGAAATTGACAATCAGTTTGTGATGCAGAACATATATGTTTCACATTTTTTGGAGGGCTTTTTATAAACGCGTTCAGATATTTCATTTTCGATGCATTCAAAAGCGTTTGTGTTGCATTTGTAAACGTATCGCCAAATCCGGTTTAGATATCAAAAATTATTACATAAATATTCAATTAAACTATTAACAACAGAACAACGAAATACACTTCATGGTAGAAGCTAAAAGTAACGGTAATATCAATTATTTTGATACAAGTCTCTAAACTTTATTACAAATGAAAAATACTTCGTTGCTTATCAAAACATGTACAACAAGAAATAATTGTTGATGATGAGCATATTCGAAATATTCTTGAAATAAGAAATCAAATAAATCATCATACTATGCAATTATTAAATATATAATAACATATTTGAATCTGATGGTGATGATCAAATAAATCGAATTTTAATAAATAGACAAGGTTAGTACGCCATATTTTTTAGTGAAACAGTGTACAACGTTAAGAAACGAATTTCTGGAAAAAGCATCAGTTTTGAGATATCACTTTTTATCCCGCCCAGAGAGTTTTACGTAAGTGAGGAATGTGAGAAATAGCATTGTGAAAACGTCGTTGAGTGATACTTAAGAGGCAACTTTCCCAAGTGTCAAACTCCGTTTTCAATAATCTTATGCCAGTTGATAGAGGAAGATGTTCTAGTTAAAATCCTAAAAGGATTTGTGCCCATGGGAATTCTTTTAAGAGTTTATGACTTTTTTTCGTTGTCAGCCTCTCTAGAACATAATCTATTTAATTGTCGTTGTTTTTAAAGATAACCATGTTTTCCCAATAATTCATTTTTGTTTTGTTGTGGTTAATAATATGAGGTCCTGTTAATATTTCCTAATGGACAAGCCGTCTTCTCTCTTCTCGTTCTCTATAATTTATCTAATTTGTTTGTTTCGCAGATGTAATTGATTCTCTATGTGAATAACAGTTATTGCATCATTGTAATGGTTTGGTAGGATTGTTTGCCCTATCTTTTTCGTACCTGTTTTTCCAGGGAAACAAAAAAATCATAGCTCTTGAAAGAAGTGCCATGGGCACAAATCTTTTTAAAGTTTTAACTAAATCACTTTCCTCTATCAACTGGCATAAGGTCATTGAAAAAGGAGTTTGACACCTAGAAAGGTTCTCTCGTGAGTAGAGATCTGCACGGGTTAAGAAAACCTAACCCGAACCCGACCCGACTGCCAAAATGCCGACCCGCACCCGACCCGACTCGATGAAAACAATCTCACCAGAAAACTGTGTTCGAAAAAGAATATAGACTTGTTTTGTTAGACAAAAGTTTTTCGGTGCATATTGTAGAATCTCGTAGTTCAAAAAAAACGTTTTGAACGACTTCTGATTGGTCATTTTGTCTAAAAGGTTAATCTATTGAAAATTCCTCAGTGCACTTTGTCAATAGATTATCTTAACCGAGATGATAACCACATTCTTTTTCTCATTGGTCAGTCA